AAAGTTAACTCAGTAATTTTTTTGGACAGACACAGCTTTTTAGGTAAGTTACGCCGAGACACAGTCCTTCTGGGCATTTAGGTGCGTGCGACTCTTATGTGACCAACTATTTAGAAACAAATATTCCAGTAAAATTATTTTTACCTTATCATTCTTATTTCTAGTATAAATAAATTCCTATCCTCTCAAATTTGTCCCTTAATTTATTTGTTGTAGTTTGCAGCCATTAGTTTTAAAGGATTTTCATTTTCGTTTCAGTGTTACGATTGAAAAAAAAGCTTTCCTATAGAAACTGCTGAATATACAACAAATCTCTCGTTACATGAGGTAACTTGGTTAAACTTTTAAGCGAAAATATACTTCTTTTTTTCTGTTGACAAAATACTATTTTGTTATTATCATTCTATTCAATGACGACATTTTATACGCGATTTGAAAATGTAGAGAAATATCTTTTTCGCATCAAAAGTTTCGGACTGGCATGTACAGATCTTGTGCTAAAAATCTGAACAAATTTTTCTGTCGTGTTGCATTAAGAAAATTACTTAAAGTGTAAAAAGAACTATTCTCTTCAAATTTTACTATTAGCTGATCTAAAAAGGAAAAAAGTAATTTTAGGAATTTTAACGAAAAGAGAAGTAATTGGTGTACAACATTTGTCTGTTGAGACTGTACAACTAAATGTTTGCTTCTTTACTGTATAAAACGAACGAACCTCTATCCTCTTTAGGATGTGTTGTCATTCGAGGCTCATCCTTTTACAACTGAATTCTGCGCTATATTACGATAATTTGCCTGATATCAGATTCTTTTTTTTTAGACAGTTGTTGTCTTAAGGTGACAAATAAGGATGGGTTGTATTGAAAGGCTTTCTTAATTCACGCGTTGTAATCCATAATTCTATGTTTAACAAAAATCACGTCCTTTTCGATTTGTCCAAATATTCTATCTCCGTAACTACATTCTTCAGCAATTTTGTTCATGGTCTTAAAAGATTACATTACTGATGTTCCTTTACACTTCTAGCGTTTTATTCCTTGCCAATGTCAAATGCTAATGGGTTTTTCCTCTACACGCCTTGTAAAATGAGGTGCTTGCATTATTAGAACTGACAACTTTGTTCGGGTTTGTTGTTTTGGCTGTAATTCCGTACCATAATCGGTAAAAATGTAAATAAAGCGTTGGAACACCAACGAATACAGTAGCAATTATAAAGTCGTCTTTGTGTGAAATCATAAAAGCTTATTGAATTAGGGGACAACAAATTTTATCCTGCAATGAAATGATAGTTTGTCATAATTTTCCATAAATTTATTTCTTTAGATCGTTTTCTTTTTTTTTTTTTAAAAAAGCAGACAAGCAAATACTAAAATAAAGTAAAAATAATAAGTTCAGTTAATATGCAAATATTGCACCTAAATTTAGATTATGCAAAATTAATTGAAGTTTGAATGACGCAATAATCTAAGTGCAAACCATTCTAAACACATACAGAGACACGCACGCACACATACAGAGACACACACAGACACATGATGTTTTGATTGACAGCTTATCTTAATGGCGATTATTTTCATCTATTATCACAGAAAGTGTCTCCGAAATTTACCATTAAATGATTATCAAGTACAATTTTAATCTTTCATCTTTGCTTTTTTCCCGAAAAGGGAGAGATGAAATTGAACTTCCTGTTGCAGCTGAGCAAATGGAATTTCTTGGTCCAGAAATTGTTTTCTTTGTCAAAGGCGCCGATATTTGCCATAGAATTTATTGTTGTATTTCAGTTTATCCTATATTTATTTATTTATTAATTTATTATTATTATTATTATTATTATTATTATTTCTGCTATGGACACACTACCTACCAAGTCTGCGGAAAGACCTAAGGCAGGTCGTGGTGTGTTGTTATGGCCACATTTCATGTTAATTTTTTTTTTTTTTTTTTTTTTTTATCTCCGATGAAGTTGCTAGCGTTACATAGACAAAGTTCTCCTTAGTGTGTGTACTGTACTTAATAAGACAATTTTCTGTATGTCTCTTAAGCTGGGGTTTCAGGATTCTTTCAATGTGTTGTTTTGTTCCATTTTTTATAATTCCAAGTGCACCTATTACCACTGGTATTATTCTTGTTTTCAATTTCCACATTTTTTCTATTTCAATTTCCAGGTCTTTGTATTTTGATAGTTTTTCAAATTCCTTGGTTGCTATGTTACAATCCGCTGGACAAGCCATATCAATTAGTAGGCAAGTTTTTTCTTTCTGGTTTTGACAATAATGTCCGGCCTATTTGCTTCAATTTTTCTGTCTGTGTGGATGGTATAATCCCATAGAATGGTGACATCTTCTATTTCTGTAACCGGCGCTGGCCGATGTTCATACCAGTGTTTGCTTACACATTTTCCAAAGTGTTTGCACATTGTCCAGTGTAAGTATTGCCCCACTCTATCGTGACGATTTTTATATTCATTTGGGGCAAGTATAGAACATCCTGAGATTAGATGGTCTATTGTTTCTTGGTATTTGTCACAGAACCTGCATTTTGGATCCACATTATTATGTATGATATTTGCCTGAAAATTCCTAGTGAAAAGACTCTGGTCTTGCGCTGCAAGAATAAAGCCTTCAGTTTCAGACTTTAATCCAGATGCTCGTAACCATCGATGAGTATTAACTTTATCAACATTGGGTTTATTTGCACGTTCTGGATATTGGCCATGCAGAGGTTTGTCTTGCCAGCGTTGTTTCATCTGTTCAAGGGCTTTATCCTTGGCTTTCTTTTTCATATCTTTTGCTGCAATAGTTGGTTCTTGGCTTCTGTTTTGATTTACTACAGAATCTACTAAATGTAAATGTTGTTTGTATTTACTGCCTTCTTTTATTATTGAATATTTTTTCTTTCTGTTTTCATGTTGTTTCACTAATTTTATCATCCAGTCATTTGTTGTTTCCATGTAAGTTAGTAAGCCAATAGTTGTTGTCTTGTTGACAATTCTAGCTGAATAAGACCTCTTCCACCTTCTTTACGGGGTATGTATAGACGGTCTACATCAGCCTTTGGATGATGCATCTTATACTTAGAAAAGTTCTTTCTTGTTTTAGAATCCATTTGTCTGATGTCATTTAGAGTCCAGTTCAAGATGTTGAAACTATATTGGACCACTGGGATGGCAAGGTTATTAATGGCCATAATTCTGTTCTGAGAATTCAATTCAGTTTTTAATACCAGTCGTACCCTTCTATAGTACTCTTTACGCACTATTTCTTTCATTTTCTTATGGTGAATTCCTTCACTCTCATTTACACCTAGGTACTTACTTATAAGCTTCTCCTTGTTCTAAATCTTTTATTGTTACAGCAGGGTCTAAACTAATAGAGGAAGTTTGTTGTAGCGATCCTCGTAAAACTTAGCTTTAGCACATTTATCAAATTGAATTTCATTCAATGTCTTCACTGAAGCATTTTACAGTTTGCAGAAGACCTTGATTTACAATTTTAAGTCATCCATTAAAATAGATGGTTTATTTTCTTTTGAGCTATTTTGTAACCGCATTCTGTCTTGTTAAGTATTATTATTATTATTATTATTATTATTATTATTGTTATTATTATTATATTTTCATTGTAAGTGAAGTAAAATTGAAGAGTTTCTCTTTTTTGTATGACGATTGACTTTGCATTTGTAACCCATTGTACAGTTTTATATGTGATAAGATAATTATCAAGAGAAATACTCACGAATAATTCAAATGGCAATGAATTACAAGAGATAATCAATAAGTTCGTAAATTGACCCTTTGTTATTCACTGAATTTTGATCTGTGATTTTATCTGTGATTACTGTTAATCCCTGAATTAAGTGCATTGACAATGATGAAGATTATATTGGAAATTAAATAATTGCTTTGTAAAATAAAGGCTTTTTATCATACGTTTAGGAACTTATCGATGTACCCACGTAACTTAAAGATTTTCAGTTGTGTGTGCATGAGAGAAAAAGTGTGTGTGTGTGTGTTTAAAGAGAGAGTGTGTGTGTTTACAGAGAGAGTGTGTGTGTTTACAGAGAGAGTGTTTACAGCTTGTTTGAAGGAAGTTGATGGAACAACTGCCTCTAGTTTACATGTTTATGTTCAAGCGATTTTCTCTTATGAAGAGCCTGGTTGAGACAATGTGCACGTGTTTCGTTCGATATTTTATTTCGTATCATACCTTTAGCCTTATCTACACTCGTAACTCTGTTTGCCGGTAGTTCTTATTTGTTTGGTTGGTTTGAATACTGGTTAGTGTCACAAAATTAAATTCACGTTGCAATGGCGTTCCCGGCGAGCTATATTTACATTTCAGTGGACTATTGCCCGGCAGGTATGTAAAGTGTCGAGTGATGGGCAGGCTCAAAAGCCATTTCATGTGTACAAATGTGTATATGAATTGCTTTTTATGCTTACAGCTAAAATATTGAAATTTTTACTATTCTAAACGAGGTTTTAATAAAGAAATTGACACAATTTCTAATTTTTACTATTGTTTTTTTTTCGGCAACAATCTTAAGATAATTTTTTGACATGGTGAATAACTTTCATTGCTTCATTATAACAAATATTTTAGAACTAAATTTTTAAAATTCCGACATAGCTTTTAAGTTGAAATATTATTTTCCTTTACGTATATCAAGATATATAAAAAAATGAAAACAATTTTAAAATCCAAAAGAAATTAATTCTAATCTTAAAAATCTTAAAAATGGTTTCAAAAATTGCAACATCAAATTTAGTTATATTTATCTTAGATGATGGAAATTTTTAAAAAGTTGTATGTATAAACATTCAATAAGAAGTAATAATCTTGTTAATTTTCTTACTGAACCCATAATTCCCTTGTGATAAACGTGTTCGTGGGAAATTTATTGAAGTGTGAATTAAAATAAATGGAAAGCAGACTAAAATTCTTTGAACTTGCAATGCTTGTCGTGATATTAAATATTATTTGATTAAGAATATTTACTGATGTTTTGACAGCAGTTGTTGTCCTGATCCTCGTGTCAGCATTGGCACGATCATTTTAATGCAGAAGGCAGTGACCACCGGCTGACTCATATCCAAAGCCGCCATCGTGCGTGATGAGAAGGCTAACAGGCCAACAAGAAAGGACAATTTTCTGCGGGCAATATGCCTCAATGACAGTGGAAGAGAGAGAGAGAGAGAGAGAGAGAGAGAGAGAGAGAGACAGAGAGAGAGAGAGAGATAGAGAGAGAGGGGGGGCATTGAGATGCGTTTATCTATTTTATGTGTGCCATTCTCTCATTTGCTATTTTCTAATTTCCTTCATCACAAGTGTAGCACTCCATGTTCCTGAGAAATATTTTACCTTTCTCCTGTATTTAATTTGGAATATTTCTCTCTCTCTCTCTTATATATATATATATATATATATATATATATATATATATATATATATATAGAGAGAGAGAGAGAGAGAGGTCATTTAAATTTCACCTAATGCAATTTAAATTAATATTATTCAGAATTATTATTTATTTGAGAAGAACGTCTGATATTTCTGCGCAATATCGAATTGAAGAATTCTTGTGATAATGGTTATGCAAATATCAATTTATTATTAACATCGGTAAAAGCAGCGTTTTATTTATTCTTACCACTTTCAGCGACCTATTTTACAAGCTGATAAAATAATTTCATTTTTTTTCTAAAAGGAGACATTTTATGTGTATGCAGTTAACATCAAACAAGTATATATTTATAATCAAAGCAAATAGGTTCAGATTAATAAACCGACTTATCTCAGTGTAAAAACTCACACATATCTCATTAAACATGAAAAGTCTTTAATGCATATATTAAACATGAAAAGTCAAAAAGGAGCCTGAAAATTTCTAAAGTTAAAATGTACGCCATTTATGAGATGTGATTTTTCACACCTAGCTTACATTTATATATATATATATATATATATATATATATATATATATATATATTGTGTCTGATGCAATGGTATCTTCAATTTAAAACAAACATAAAATAAAAGAGATATTAAATATTTCAACTTTGCCCCACTTTATATTAAAAGGAAAGATAGGAGCAGCTCTATGTTTGCTAGTCAATATTTTTTTGTTTCATATTTTTAGGTTTTATAAAGCATTAGATATAATTTACAATAGTAGCTGTCTAAATAAGGTAACAACTATGTGGTACTAAGTGAGGATTGAATTTAGTCGTAATAGTCATCCAATGTAGTCCGCTAGTCATTAACCTTAATTTACTATTTTTAAAACTTAATTTATCAGTTACATAATAATAAAACATTTTTTGTATAATTGCTTGTATAATTATGAAGAAACTATTTTTATACATACAACAGCACAAAAAGATAATATCTTTTTTTTGTGCTACTTATATAATTAAAGTCATTTTTCAACCAATCTGGCTATAGTGAAAAACATTATGATTATATATTGTGGTACTGAAAATCCTCAGCCTGTCACATTTAAAATTTAACCGAACATCAGAATATTTTCGAAATCCCTTTTGGACATATGCGTCTCCCCTATATATATATATATATATATATATATATATATATATATATATATATATATATATATATATATATATATATATATATATATATACGTGTGTGAATGTATGAATGGCATGTTTGCTTATGTGTGTGTGTGACTATGCTCTAAGCTTATTCAGAGACGTACATTGTTTCTTTTATTTCTCAATCGGAAATACCTAATGATTTTGAGTATCCTTGAATAATACTAAATATAAAATTATCGCATTCTCTTCCGTCGCAGTTGCCTGCAAAAGGCTTCAAGAAGTGTTTTAATGCCATCAGATTTATATTATCTGCACGAGATTAATCTTTTGAGCCTAATGGATCTCTCGGAGATATAAACATTGCTGATCAGAATTTTTATGTTTAAACGGAAATTACATCTATAAACCTCGATGCGTAGTTTCATTTGTTTGCAGAAGATACCTTTCACGAAGGAGAATTTTAAAAGCCACTTATCGCATATCGCCATTGTCCATAATATTCTTTTTCTCTCTATTCCTCTATGGGATTCGTTCTTTCTGTATTCGCGTATTTTAGAAGCGAATCTTTTAAACGCATTTCTCTGGAGCTCAAATTTCATTTTTTAATTAATTCAAACCTTTTTTTTCAAATTCTGATTGCTTTTTGTAATGTGTATTTTGATTTTATAAGGGAATCTGTGTCTGTCTAAAATTTCGGTGTTAAAGATTCGAACAATTTTCTCTCGACTTTATGCGTCATTATGTCTGTGTGCATTTTCTCTGTTACTTAAGAAGATCAAGAAGCGATAAAAATATGCACTGTGATTAAATATACAATTTCTGATTATTTTTCCAAACAGATTACTAAAAGTGTATACGAGTAAAGTTTGGATATTTGCTAAAAAGGCAACTGAAAGTTTCCACAAAAGCCGAGCAAAATTTAAAATCTGTTACATCATTGCATTTTATTAAATAAATTAGAAATAACATAGATAGATAAAAATATTAATGTTGGCATATAATATTTTTGAAAAAGTAATTTTGCTAAAAACTACAATCGTTGAGAATTGTCCTTACGTTGAGAAAATTTCTATACCGATTCCAGACTATAGGGCGTATATTTTTACGAAATAAAAATACAAAATGTAAATAAGACTGTTTTCTTTCGGCAGCTATTTTTCCAAACTTTTTCACTGCGTCTAACGATACACCAGTCTTGCGGGAAATGATGTACAAGTTGAAGTTCGGGTGGGAGTGACAGTGGTTGAAGAACTATATAGAAACTTTGTGTTTAAGTAAGAAAATAGAAATAGAACATGTGAATAAATGATAGGAATGAGTCAGTTAAGAGATAAGCGAACGCAAATGACTTTTCTCGGAAGAATTGCTTGTTAAATATATTTATTATGGCACACTACATTCATATGTTAACGCACTGAGAAAGGCACTCACGTTTACAAAACCGAAGAATATTTAAATATCTGTAATCATCTAAAAGAATTTCACTTTTCAAACTCATCTTTTAAAATGTAAAATTCATAAGAACCTATAGTTTTTGTCTGCTGACGATTATGGCTTATTAAATTTGACCTTTCTGTTGTAAGAAGGAGACACTGGGAAATAGTGTGGAACAATGTTTACTTGGATGAAGCCAAGTTCTGCCATAACTTCAAAAATGGTTTCTAAAGTATTATGCACTCATTAGCCTCAAGGTCAATTGCGAAGGCAATTCATTCCATTCTTTAGTTTTGAGAACGAGTTCCCCATTTAAAATTTTTGCGACATTGTTTCTGCGAATGCCAGCATAGAAAAAACACTTCATTGTTTGGAAATTTTTATAATGTGTAATCGCATGGAGAATATTAAGTTTAAGGAGTCGCTGAAAATTTACCGGCTCAACCCACTTTCCAAAAATTAATATTTGAATGGTCAAATATTAGAAACTAATTTTGGTAAGTGGGTCAGACCAAGACCTTTTTAGCACACACTAATTCTTTAGATCCTATTATGTTTCAATTTAAACACAGAAATGAAAAAAAAATGGGGTAGTTTTAAGCCACTCACAAATTAACTATGTAAAACAGTACATGAAAATATATTTTTTTTGTTTGGTAATTTTTTCATCATTCCAAGATTCGAAAACTATTCGAGCGCCGAACAAATTAAAAAATGAAAAAAGTGGTCTTCAAAATCAGTAAAAGTTTTGCTTGCTGATCAATGATTTTCGCCATCTTGAAAATACTATTAAACACAGCGACACAGAGACTTTCTATTTTCATAAATATAACACACACTCACACACACATACACACATGCGCGTGCACAAAATAAATAAAAAACTACATAACAAACGTACATGTATCTGATATGATTTTGTTTGTGAATTGTTTCTCTGTAATTTGCAAGAGTAAACCAGAATCTCGTATCCATGGAAAATATTCTGCCGCATAATCATACGTGCGAACCTTTCAGAAAATAAAAGGAAAGTAGTGAACAAGTTGAAAGTTATTCTCTATTGTTTTTTTGGGAACGAATTAATTCTGATTGTAATTTTCTTCTTAAATAACAATGTCCAAATGCCAAGAATTCTATCAAATGCTCATAATTGCCAATAATGATCCTAAACGAGTGAATGAAAGCTTTTTACAACATATAATGGCAGGCAAAAATTATACGTTTGTACTGAAATCACTTTCCATACCGATACTTCTCTATGAAACGCTCATTTGAACACATATACTTATGTATTAAGGTATGTATTTGGTGATTTCTTTATTTGTAATGCACACATGTTTATATGACATACATTTTTATATATATATATATATATATTTCATTTTATAACTATATATTAAATTTATTGCATGCAGGCGCGCGCGCGCACACACACATCCCCCTCCACATATATATATATATATATATATATATATGAAATGCGTGTATTTCGGCAGCATGTATTCTGACAGGTTTCATTAAATAATTTAGACACGTTCTGTCTACTTATTTTCGATAAGATCCTTTCATATTCGTGAATAAGCTTTTTGTACGAATGTTAAAAGACAAGAGGAAAACACCGTTTTGTCTGATATTGTATTTATTCAGAGTACTTTCGACATAGCATAATGTCATCATCAGGGTATTGTTAAATATAGAGTAAGTATTTAGTGTTCATGTTTGTGAAGTACAATATTTGTTGTGGCCATCCGGAGATTACCGTTTTTTTATGTGGAATCACGAACGCTGTGTCATCGCTGATTAACAGACACCGTTTAAGGGTAGGTAACTAGGTATGTTGTAGAAAAATTCTGGGCTTGAGTAGTTTCTAGATAAAGAAAAAAACTATTAATGACAAGCGCTAGCATTTAAAGACTATCTATTGTACACATTTTAAAATGTTTGTGGAGTATTCGTAATTGATTTTATTGAGATTTGGTTTCAATTTTTTTATATAAGTAGCTTCGGGAATTTTTAGTTTGTGCTTATTTATTCTTTTCGTGGAAAAGTATGGAGGTATTTTCGATGAGGATTTTTCTGAATTGCGAGTGTGGACAGGTATGTTGTTGCTGTAAGTGTTTAGAAATATTGGAAGTATTATTCAGGTGACGACTTAGCCTACGTGAAAACGTTGTTGTTGCGTGTCCAACATAGATATTATTTTTGTCGTTGGAGATGCAGTCTCCCAGAGGACATTTAAATTTATAAACGATGTTGGTTTTCGGCAA